ATTACAATGACTTTTATGTTTTATTGCTTATTTCTATGTGTATAGTTAGGTTCAGATTTACTACAGACTAGCAAGTCAGTAAAGGTATGCTGGTGTGAACAATTGGCCCTTAATCTCTTTTGAAGTCAGGGTACATATATAAGACTAATTCCTCCCCCCTCTGCTGTTTTATGTCTAGATGAAATGGTGCAGGGATACAGTGCAGTTGGAATAATCTGCAGTAAAATATAAGTAATAAGTAATTTTCTCCTAAATTTTAGAAACAGTATTTAAAATTGGTGAGTTCTTATACTTTGTATATTTATTTCCATATCTGCAAAGTGAATGCAAAATACTAATATTCTATTAACATAGCGTGTCTCAACCCTTTGAGAGAGAGTAAATACATCAGCCTTTACTATGCACCAGGTGCAAGGCAGGAGAGAACCAGCATTTAATTTCTAAACTGTAACAAGCACTAATAATAATGATTATATTTTACAGTAAAAGATTTCATTAACATATGTGTGGTTTGAAATGTTAAGCGTGACCCTGAGGCATGCTGGGCACCTGAAACAGTGATTTAGAATCACCCATTGTCTCCAGAAATCCTGGCTATTTGTAATGTGATAAGTATTTCTATCCCAGAAAACTCTTAGCTGTGGAAAGCTGCTCATTTACTGTTACTTCAGTACAAAGACAATGGCTAGCTTTGCCGAGTTACAGGAATAGTCATCCTGTGGCAGCTGCTTCCTTAACATCACAAGGGTTGTGTCCCCTTGTGCCAGTAGAGGCTTTGGGCCGCATTTTTTTAACTTGGGCACATCAGCATCATCCGGTGGCACTGCTCAACAAGAACAAGTTAAACAACGCTTGGCAAGAAAATATCCGTGTTTCTCAGGAGAACAATGTGTTGCTCATTACAATGGACAAACAAAAGTGATGGACTTCTGGTTTTAGTTCCGTGTAGTCTGACAGCCTGAATAATAGTGCTTCAATTCATTTTAAAATAGAATAAACCAAGCATTCCTATCATGAATCTGTCCAATTCACGGCTTTAAAAGTGACCATTAATACCATAATATTTAGAAGGAATGCGGTGTCACTTGATACAGCAACAGTACACTTTCATATGCGGGTCTGCTTTCTCATACATACAAAATATGCCAGTACTATCTTTCTAGATAGATGTCCTCATAGGTTGCCCACAGCTTTAAAATCAAATAGCACCACTGCGTATTTATGGCTAAAAGAAAAGCACTGTTAAAAGATGTAGACTTCTCACACTTAAGGAGGTTTTCAGCTTAATGTGATGGAGTTTATCCTTTCTTTACTGAACTCTTTAATACTTAATATGATCGTTTTGTGTAAAGAATGTACCGGTGAGCCTTAAGATTTTTGCCTTAGCAGACATGTCTGAATAATTGTTCTTCTTTCCAGTGATTAATCCTCTGAATTTTATTATGACAGTTGACCAGAAATACAGACAGTCACAAATTTTCAGAAAATTTTTGTGCACCTTTGCATGTACAATTTGTAAACAAAAAACTAATCTGTTCTCAATTTCCATCTATCTATATATAATTATATATGTAAAATATATATGAAAATGATTATATATGTTTATATAATATAATATATGTAATATGTTATATAGCATATGTATTATCTCTCTCTCCCACACACACACATATATATTTATCACCATTTTGCACTCTTCTGACTTTCATCTCCAGGAAGAGTGTCCTGGCTAAATTTGATTTGGTATGCTGAGATACAGAATTCTGATTCTCTATGTCATTAAATATACACCTTCTCATTCCCATTCTGTGATGAGAAAGGACTCACTTTGACCCTTGATCCATTTTACTTTAAAATTCACTGTATAAATATAATGGGCTGTAAAGTATAGAAATACAAAAACTCGGTACTGCATTTTAAAACAGTGGCTTAACTGTTTCAGTTCTCATTGAGCCTCTAGCACCTCCCCTGTGCATAGGCTGAGCAAATCCAACTTTGCTGAGGCCTTCAAAGGGAAACAGCATAATTCAAATACTGGTAGCAGAATGGCTAGAGGGATTTTTTTTTTTTTTAATAGAAACAAGAACAGAATTCTAGATGCAAATGCAGAAAATCGCCTGTGTCCCTAGGTTAGAGTGCCAATATGTGCAAAACTCCTTAGTGCTGTAAGATTAGCTCATGTAATCATAGGGAAAGTTTTGGTCTTTCTGCACGTACTAAGCATGCTAATACTTGTTCGGTAAAATCTGACAAGATCAACAAGATACGCTGCAGTGGAATCAGCCACCAACCATTTAGCAGGAGTTTACAGGTATTTCCACTGTTTATTCTACCAGAATGCACTTACTCAAATTACCATTTGAGACTAGACTAGCAACCTGGAGGCATAACGTGTTTGATAGCACTGTGCTGTTGACGAGTGGGGAAGCAGGCTGGGAAAACTAAGGGCAGGTGAGCACTGCTTGCTTATGGAGGAAGGTACAGTCTTTTCAAAGCATAGACATATTTGCTGCAGTGTTAATAGAGAAAATCTCCATACATCTTGGATGCCCAGTTGCAGGCACATACATGTAGTTCATAATGTATGCAGTGGCAAACATCTGAGGCATTTTACAACTGCTGGTAGGAAAAACCTCATTTGTTTAACTAAGCATTTTGAGTGATTTAAAGTTCTGGCTTATGTACTACACTTACAGTGTTATGAAAGGACACACTCAACAGGAGAGCCAACAGGAGAGCTCATGCATGCTGAGTAAAGCTTAATCGGGCTGGCAAGGAAAAACAAAGAAAGGACAAACTCCTGTACTGTTTATTTCAGTTAATATGTGTAGTCAAATAGACCTAAGGCTGCAGTTTGACAAAAACTTTGAACTGACATAATTTGGCACTGTCTCTGAATGGAGATGTCCTGCCTGCCCCCTCACTGCCCTCTTTCGTGCCTGAAGTCAGCTGTTTGTGGTGGCCACAGGATGAATTGGCTTGGGAAACCGATCCGTCTGTAAAGTAATCCCTTTTTTGTTTACAAGGGTACTTTACAGGCAGATCACTTCACTCATCTGGTCCATTGGAAGGGTACAAAAATGTTTGCACTGGCATACGGGAGGCAGCGGAGGTAGGGAAAAAGACAGGACTGCTTTTTCACACACAGTGCCAGTTTAACAGACTTGAACCACGGCCCGAGCAAAACCAAAGCTGAAGCTGTATCCAGGCACAAACAAGAGAATTTGTGAATGGATTTCCAAACTTCTCCCTTCCCTGCAGATTTAGGTCTCAATTTAGCAAGGCACTTGTGTGTGCCATTTAAGTAAGGACACAGATTTCCCTGCTTCTCCGAATCCTGTGGCAACAGTGCACATCAGCCTTAAATAGGTCAGAGACTGTCTTTGTGGAAGAAATGTGAGCTGCTGGGAAGTTCACAGGAGGCTGCAGCAGCTCCTCCAGCCAGCTCCTCCCCCAGCGCAGGGCGCCGGGGCGAGGAGGGGAGCGGATTCCACCACCCGTGATGCCTTGCCCGGGTAAGCTTCCTTACGGAGCTTATCCCGATGGCAGGAGTTAGAGTAAAGCCCCCACTGCTCCGACGGCTGCTGAGGCTAAGCCCTCTGGGATCAGAGCGGTGTGACCAGGCTCTACATCTGCCACTTGGACCTCAGCTGTCCTCTGAAAGAGGAGGGGATGGAGAATAAGAGACAAATGAGCTTATTAGTATTTATTATTTGTATTATTATAGCACCTCAGTGCCTAGTCATGGTCCAGAATCCCATCCTATTAGCACTGCGCAAACCCAGAACCAAAGTACAGTCCCTGCCCCAAGGGGCTTACAATCTAAGTTTCAGAGGATACAAAGAGATGGATCACCGTGACGGACAGCGTTGTTTGCCTGTTGAGACACCATCAGAGTTCTTCAACGCTTAGTTGAATTAAGGGCCTACATTTTAGACATTCTTCACACAGTCAATACTTTGTATTTCTCTTTTAAAAAACCCCAAGAGATTTCACAAAATTCGTGTTATATTCAGTGAAAAACATTTTTTGTTGCAAGACAGACATGTAAGGTTATTTTAGAAAACGCTGGTTTGTATTTTCCAGGCAGATATCTGAGCACATTTACAAAGTCTACACATGCAGTGTAAAAACAAATTTAAAAAATTTTAACCAACAGGTATTTTTTGGTGCATTCATTTATTTAATTTGCACTCTTGCAAAAAAGAGATAACTTTAAATTCAATTTTTTAAGAAAAATCAGAAGTGATTTCATCTGAACTATTTTTATTTTTTATCTCAACTATTTTTCCATAAAAATAATCTAATTAAAAATGATTACCTTGGTGGAATTAAAAACAGTGCTAGATACAAGGGTAGAGAGCAACTGTGCTTTTACAAAAGGTATATAACTGACTTTACAGTTTTTCTTCCATTCAAAACGTGTGATTACACATGCCTTCTGTGTGAGAAGGGCATGTGATTTACGACTACCTTTTTGCAAGCATAGCATATGTGCTTATTTTTAATAATTTGCCAGTGGGGGGCAAATACTGCTCAGAGCGTCACTAAAATCAGCAGCTCCTTGACACAGCTGGCCTGCTACTATGTGTCATAGTTAATACTGTGAATAACTCATGAAGTTCAATATTCCTGGTTTTAACTATAATTACTCTGTGATAATAAGTATTTGCAGGTTTGAATATCTTACAGAGGCCTGTAGGAGGACAGTATGATTTTATCCCTATGAAACAGGGTAGAAGAAAACAAGAGCTAGCTGGACAGTTTGTAAAATCATTAAAAATTTTCCACGGTCAGTTCTGTTGTTAGTGATTTGGATAGCCCCCACTGAAGTTGCACAAATAACGTCTAGTCTTCATGTGAGAAGAACATCCAATATTAGCTTTCCTCTATGCATTCTCTAAATTGCTGTAAACATCCAAGATACCCATATATATACATGGGTATGTGTGTGTATATATATGTGTGTGTATACATGCACATACATGTGTAGGTGTATACATACACAGACATATACATATATGTACATATACATACATATGGATATATAGCTATGACATATTTAGGAAACAGTAATGTTCATTTTTATTGCATTCTTAAGTATGAGAGAACAAGGGTATTATAGGCACACATCTTAACTACTCATCCTTACTACAGTCCTAAAGCTCATTTACCTGAGATCTGCATCTGTAAAAATAAAGTTCCATTTTTAGCTGCATGTTACAAAAGACTAAATTTCAGCCCCACGGATATGAAATTACAACTTAATTTTGAAACAAACGCTACAAGTAAAATATGCTATCTTATAAAAAAGATACTGCTGAAAGAGATACATATTAAAAAAGAAACATCATCCTTAGAGGTTTAAAAATCTTCCCATGCCTTCCCACACCTTCCCATATTGTAATAAATTTGTAAAAAATATTTCACACACAAAATCTTCACAGAAATCACGTACCCTTTAAGCCACCCATCTTGCTAAAATTACGTAGTTCAGGAGGATAGACTCCACATTACAAGAATTTAATTTCCATCAGTCTTCATCATCCCGTCTGTAATGAATAGTTTGTATTTCCTGAGCTATGAACATAGCCATCTCTCTAGTGCCCGCAGCAATCACTCGGCAGGACATAAGATCCAGAGGTCCCCCTGAGGACAAGAGGGTTAAGAACTGTCTGAGGTGAGGTGAAAAGGCAACGTATTCTTAAATATAAACCACACTGTAAAATTAGGTTCAGAAACATGCAAACAAATTCACAAAGCTCGTTTTGGGATGAGAAGGAAAACCCAATAAGGAACTCCTATCTTGAATTTAGATCTTGAGATCTTGAAATCTCTTGCAAAAATAATTTCAAAAAATTCTAGATACAATGCCAAAGCATGCAACAGAAGCAGTGAAAGTCTACATCTGTTCAGTACACAATAATAACTGGAATATTTCCTTGTTTTCTCTCAGATAAAAATCAAGATATGTTTTCTTGCAAATTTAGTAATAGGAAGGGATAAAACAGAAATTAGTTCAATCAGAATCATTCGTAGTCCCCCATATCTTTCCACAATATATCTGCACAGTGGTCACAATAAACTTTTCTGCTTTAGAGCCTCATTATTCTGGAGATGTGTGCTATAGAAATGAATAAAATAATAGTCTAAAATAATAAACTAGAAACTATATTATCCTTTACTCCCGTTAAGTACTTCTCAGTCAGTAATGTTCACACATATAGCTTCCTTCTTGAGAGACTGTCTCTGCTGAAATCTGTTTGGAGTCTGAGCGTATCTAATAACTTTCTGGGCTAGTTTTTACAGAAAATCTGGTGCTTTAAAGGAGTTACTCAAAGTCATGGAAAGACAATTTGACTCAGAAGACCTTTGATGTGATGAAACCCCAAGCTGGGATTACATCATTGTGCTATGACCAGCCAGAGTCTAACGGAGAGTACAGACAATTCTACTGAATATTGCTAGAAATGATACTGAGTCACAGGAAAAGAACTGTACTGAGGTAACAAAAGTTGCTCTGAAATACCACTCAGTCCCAAAAAGTCAATGGAAATATGAATATTTTACTCACCTGAAGTGTCTATCACAGTGCCACCTGCCTCTCTAATAATGACAGTAGCTGCTGCCAGGTCCCAGCAGTGCAAGCCAAACTGGTAGTAGGCATCTGCAGCCCCAGATGCCAAATGGCACAGCGCCAGGGTAGAACTTCCGATCACACGAACCCTAAGCACAGCAACAAGGGCACAAAATAACATAAGGCAGAAAACGCCTTTGATTTCAGTCTGTGTGTCAAGATTGCAAAAATGTGCAACATACTTGACTTAGGTAGAATTACATTCTACTTAAAACTTAATGAAGTGCTGTTTGTTGTTGTCGTTTTAATGACTTTCGGTCACAACGTGAGAGACATTTTAAAATATCTTACCCATGTGCTTGGGCCTTGAGCAATCTCTCAATGTTACCAAGGAACAATTTCAAAGTTGCAGGGTCACGTTTTGGACCGATTTCTGTTAAAATTAAGGCCTTCGAGATATCTGCAATGTAAGTATTTTTTCCATTAATTTAACAGCTTCCAGGTAGATTCTGGAAATTTCTTCAGACGAAACAATAATGGACTTTTCACAGAAAAACAGTTTTCATATCCGCCTTTCTAACCCCAAACTCTTTTACAGGATAAGTGACTACACATTAAAAATTGAAACAAGACTAAAACTTTCAAATCAAATAGTCTTATCTAAACATACTTTTTTTCCTTTAAAGAACAAGAATATTAAAAATAAGAATACATACTTATATTCCTTCTGTTTTCATATATTGTTTTCTTTCATTGACCAGTCAGTTTTTGATAAATTCACTAACATTAGCAGTCAACTAAAAAGAATCCAGTGACCTAGCAACTATTAATGACACTAAACAGATCACATTTGAAAGCATAATGGTTCTTGAATAGAGAACTTCAATGTAATTTGTTAACAAATTAAAGATTTAAGAATATACTAAGATCAATGAAAAGTTTCTACCTAAACATCAGTCATCAAGTCATAGCTCCCCTTCACTATGACATTTCAGACTCAAGACACTTTATGATTGAAAAAACTCTTTCTTACCATAAACTAAAACCATATCTCAATTAACAATAATAAAGTAATGCTGCACTTGTATTGTGTTCAGCAAGGACAATTCCGGTTTACAGCAGATGAGGATATTAGTGTTATGCACAGTCAAAGCCTACTGCAGTTAAAGGGAAGACTCACAGTGACTTGCAAAGTGTTGAAGTAGTCCTCATGGGAGATATTGTGAGAATATAAAAAGCTTATGCCAATTTAGATGGAGACAGCTGGTCAAATGCCAAGTGTCCCTGCTTCTGCTACGCCAGTTGAACTTAGGAGGTGTTAAAGATACAATGAACCTCAAAGTTGATTACTTATTAAATAGTCTGTGTCCAATGTCAGGTGTTACCTTCTACCTTGCATTAAAGGCTAAACATTCATTCATACAGGGAATGTCTATCTGGTTATTACAGCTAATTGCATAAGCTGAAAATTCTTAGCAGAAGTAGCAAGCAGGTTTTCAAAAGTAAATTAGGATAGAGTGAGACATCATTTAATTAAAACAGGCTACCAGTGAATTTAGTATTACAGAGGAACATTATGGATTCAAGCAATGTGGTAAGCAGTTGGTGAGTAACAGATACTTAGAATTAGATTTTAAGTTACAGGATATCACAAAGCTTAACTGTAGGAATATAGATTTAACAGTAATTTTTAAATTACTGCACTGAAATATAGAAACAGCGATCCAGATATGCTGCAGGGTATTCTCTGTTTAGCCACAACTCACAATTCTGGATGGTGAAAGCAATCTGCCTTAGATCCTTTTGCATAACAGACCCAATTTATAATTACAGAATACTTAATGCATGCTTCATTGCTGAAATGCATCAAGCATTCACACCACACCAGTCACAGCTAGGTCATGACAAAGACAGCTGTTCTTTTGAGTTATTAAATATATTCCACATGAACAAACAGATCTCTTCAATTTTAATCAAGGCTATGGCCAGTTAGAAGTTGGATAAAGAGACTGAGGTGAGGTAGAGGGAGGACTCCACTTAGGAGAAGCAGGTGTCTGCTCCTCAATATGGTTTCAGCAGTTCAAGGTACAAGAGAAAGTTTCCTGAGCACTCCTAACTCTGATATAAGACAGAAAAATAGGGAGACTTGGTAGAACAGATTTAGCAGCGATAAGGATACATTTATGAGGAAAAGACCAATTCTGTTGACCACAGAAGAAGATTAAAAAAATAAAATACAGTATTAGCACATGTAAGGCCAGACTTGAATCTAAGTATGAGAAGAAAGTATCACTCAAGGTCAAAGGGAAGATGGCTCCTTCATTTAAGTGCATCTTGACTGCTTGACCTCACAAACCAGACCTATACAAAATTAGTCATTAACAAAGAACAGTTTTTGTCTGTACTGTAATTTCGAATAATTAAATTTGAACAATCCTAATGTCTGCCTTGAAATTATCTTGTAGATTAACGTTACAGAACAATCACATTTCCTGAAAACAAGAGGCATGAGGTAACATGGCAGCCTAGGACTCCCCAACATATCATGCATTGGTGAAGGCTGCTTCAGATGTTAGGTACGGTAAATACACTCTCTTCTCCAGGGCTGGTTTATTCCACTGTAAGCCACAGTCTTTACAAAACAAGAGCAACTCTGCATGTATACACTTAAACATCAATAGAAGTGAAATTAAAGAAGCTCCGTTTTCACTGACGAAAATCCCCACCACCAAAGAATGTATCTTGAAACAAAGGAAAATTTCAAAGCAGTTGGAAGGGTAGAAGGTCCCCTTTCCCTGCTATGTTCTAGACACCCATATAGACTGAATGTCCAGAGAAAGGAGGACAAAAGGAGCATGTGCCAAAATCATTCCCTGCTCAGCTGGAGACCAGAACGCTCTGCCTACATGTGAGTGAGGCCATTTCAAGAGTGGCCCAGCTAACCCAACCTGGGAGCCCCTAATTTTTTCCAATAGTTTCTGTCAGCACGGATTCTTGTGGAATATGGGGTATTCAAGCACAGACAGAACTGTGACACATAATCATGGATTAAAATCTTATCTCAGGTACCACCCACCTTATAATTTGCTCCATTTCTCCAAATGGGGAGACCCTCACCCAGTAACTTAAGTGAATATCCAGACTTCACCAAATTTCAGGTAAGTCTTGATGCAGGATCTGGTTGGGGGACCACAGCAAATCTGTACATTAAATTGCTGGAATTCACTATGTTTCAAGCTCACTAAAATCTCTTGCTGGGGTGAAATTTTTACCACCTCCTGTGTACATTGATGTAAATTTTTGGCACATGTTTGCTTCTGTCTTGTTACATTCTCCACTGCATTTTGACTAATTAAAAGAAAATTTATCTATACGTGTCTAATCATCATTATCTATTGTCATTAGGTAAACAGACAGATGTATGATTTGGCTTACCAATAAATTAATTCCATTAAAGTGTTGACTAAATGTTGATAGCTATTGGTATGTCGAAACATAGCTCACACAAAAGCAAGCTGTTAAAGAACCCCTGTAAAGCATGCACCCTTTAGTTTACTGTTAGCATGTATGCCTACTAACATAATACACTTTATGATACACAAGGTTATCTGCAAATAAGTGAATAATAGCCACTGTGAATCTGATTCACCATTCCCATTGCATCTTGCTTATAAAAGGTTATGCCAGTGGCATAACTGGAATGAAACTGGTGAATCTGCTCATGCGTGATTATTTTAAATAGTAGTTACGAACCAAAACAATTTAAGATTATTTAAGAGCAGTTCACACTCAGCTGTAATATTTTAAAAGAAAATGAGAAAAACTGTGATGTTTTCAGGAAAAAACCAAACACATAACAACAAAATTATCATGCAGGAGAAATACTTTCCATCAGGATAATGATGTTCATTATCCTAATGTTGATTTGTAACAACTCTGAAACAAAGTTAGCATATTCCTTTTAGAGTTCTAACAAAATCTAGACCAACCTGTCTCTTTTGATACCTGAAGCCTTTTGTCATTACAAAATGCCCCTTGACCTCTTCTACCAGTGTATAACCGTTCTTCAGTGCAGTGGTAAATTACACCAAATTCAAGCTTTAAGATTTTGAAAAGGAAAGAAATGAATGCAACTCAAATTACTCATCATAGATATAAACAACTACTAATGGCAGAAAGATCAGCAATATTTTAATTGGTACATGTAATCAAAGATTATACTGATGCTAATAAACTAGAATAATTTTAGTATTACTATGATGTTTGAGATATAGGTCATACAAAACTTAGTTTATGAAGAGAAGTTAATGGAGTCTGTTCATCGTCTTCTAAACTCTCACTTGAGGCTCATCTGTGTTCACATCAGAACGGATTAAATGTTAGTTGCTTTCAAATTCAATTACATGTTTTTATCGAAAATATGCAAGTCCTCTAAGGCCAAATTCTGAATGAATGAAAACTTTCACTGGTGAGCAGTTACACATAGAAGTAGTTCCATTGACTTTGGCAGGACCATGAAGGTTTGCAACCCCAAATACATAAATATGGTCAGTTAGGCATCCAAACTCAAAAGTCAGGACACCTGGTTTACTAACAGTGGATACTTTTATACACACTTCACCTTTCATGATGCATTTAATTTGCCTACCGTTTCAACCACAGTAGTACACTCTAGTCACTTTTCCAAAGCTTTCTCTGCAAAATCCTTTCTTAATATATAAATGTGAGAGTCTCATGAAATCACAAGACTCCAAGAGAAGGAGTTTGAAGAAAAATACCAAATATAGTGGCCCAGAATGAAAGCTTTAGAGAATGAACAAGACTGGCCTCTTTGTGGGAGTGCCTGCTTACCGATGAGAAAAGGAGGGTCAAAATTAGACCCAAGACTAATAACACTAATGAGTCACTAATAAGTGACTTTCCCAAGGTCACAGAAGAAGTTGGTAACATGGTCAAGAAAACATCTTAGATGTTCTCGACTCCAGATCTTCTCCCTATTCAATATGAATAACAATCAGTGTTCATCAGAGACAGTTCAGAGGGAATAGGTTGTCCTTGCTCCTTACCCTGAGGTCCCATCTAAACCAATTTTTTTTTTCTGAGGGACACTATTAATAGAATATTTCCCTGAAGACATCTGCAGGAATTTCTTCAGTGCTGTTCAAGGCTTACATTCAGGTCAGTTCCCCTGTGCGTACTTTGGCTCATTTTCAAGTCACTACTTTTTCCTGTTTTGTCCTTTTCTTTATTGAGGGAGTTTTAACATCATACTTTGTTTTTTGTTTCAGCTTTGTTTTGTTTACATAACCCAAAATATGCAGCACCAAAAGCATGATGGTGTTCTAGAAAACAATAAATATTAAAGAAAACTCTCTGGTAATCTTATGTAGTATTCAAAAGGATCTTTGGGAAGGAGTAAACTTCAGAAGAGCATGGAAGTGTTTCTCTGCAGTTTCTATGTTTGAAATGTCAAACTAGAGAAGTAAACAGCATTATTCTGTTTAAATCGGTGAGAGCTGCTAGCACATTTGAAAACTATGTTATTCCTGCACAGAGCTCTTGCTGGCTTCAGTGGCAGCTCTATATTTTTAAGACTGTGGAATTAGGCTGAACGAGGCACATTCCTTGGCAATCTGAATAGCTATTTCTTCTGTATATCTCAGACTGTAAAACAGCAACATCTGGAAAAAAGCCTCTAGCATGAGCGAGTACAGCTAGGAAGCTCAAAGACGACAGCATTCACGAAGGCTAAATTCTTCCTTATTTTCCTATGATCAAGCTCTCATGAGGGAAGTATAGCAATTTTACTACATAAAAACCCACAAAGTCAGATTAAATGATCTAGGTCCCTAATTTTTTACTTGTCATAGAAAGCAGTTCTGAATTACATCTCTTAGCAGCAGTTAGCTTCCACAGATACTGCTAGTAGGAAAGAAGCAATAATAATCAACATAAGAACACTGGGAGATACATTTAAACTATGAATAGGCAGCACTGTATTTAACTCATTGAGGCTTTGTCTTACAAAACCTTGCTCGCACCAGTACTCCTTTTGCAGCCACATAAATCCTATAATACTTATAAGAATTTATAAGATTTGTCCTATAATTGCCAGTCTGCATAAGTGCAGTTTTGGAGGACTGGGATTTTAGAATAAGAGTTATATGACCAAACATATTTAAATAGCATGGAAGAGCTGGTGCAGTAGCTGATTGGACGTTCTGTTTTTCAAGTTTCTGCAGGGCTTTTGGGCTTCTAGCCAGATCTCAGGTTACCCATCTTAAAGAACATATTTTATACCTCTTTGTTAACAGCAAATCCAATGCTCACTGCCACTGTTGGAAACCTGTGAAAAATAAGAAATGAAGTAGCATTAAAATGAAAAATCTCTCAAAGTATGAAAAATCTCTGAACTTACTAGTTCTGCAACTCACTTAGTCAATGAAACCCCACAGGGAGCTCTGTGACTTTTTCTGGGTTTAAGGGAATAACGCTCTTGACATTGTACCATTCTTCCTCTCTTGGTCTCTTTAATTTTGTCAATCCTTTTTAAAATATAACTTAATATGGGAATATGCAAGAAAAACACATGAAGATATCAGTATTTTTATACTATAACATGTTGTATATTTAGTGATCTTTTTGCTTTAGTGTAATTGAATTACCCAATTTAAAATCATTGATGTCGTTATAACAAGTAACCCCTTCTGAGAGCACATTTTGTTCAAGTGAACTCAGAGCATCTGAGATAGCAATTAAGTTGCAGGGGGATACCTTACTGCTGACGCTGACACAAGGGGAAACCTGTTTCCCTACCCTCTCTTTTGCAAAGTGACGATCATGTATTTACTTTACTCCTTGTGACTAAAGTATAACAACTGCACTTTAAATAATGAAATAAATTCATTTCTTAAATCATGTTTTTAAAAAGGCTGTAGAATAAAGGACAAGAGAATTTGGCTAGGAAGAGAAAATTTTACTTCACTGGATGAAACACCAGGACATGATCCCTCCCTCCCCCAGCTGCTTGAATTCTATATAATTGCACCAGGAGTAAAGGAAATGGCTTTTTTAAAATGATAACTGCAATTATGTTAAATTCCTAACTATAAGCAGAACGTATTTTAGGTTTTTAAGCAGAAATATTATGAACAATCATTATTTTACAATTCCCAGCACTTAAATGATGAATTAAAATTTCTATATTTTGGCAGCAATGATCCCTGGATTTCTTTTTGCAAAGCGTTATTATAGGAATTTAAAAAATAATATCCATGTTATACAGTAAAGCTGAGTTTTCAGTTATATTCCACATATATGCAATTGTTCTATTTCCTGTGGAAAATGAATCTGTGTATTGAAAGGGAGAAAATATCATTGTTAAAAGGAATACGTAAAAACCACATAAAGAGTTAGGCCAAATATCAACCTAGCATAGCCTTGTTTCTCCAGCTCAGGTCAAGTCTCCACATGTTAACATGCAGTATATAAATAATAGCTGTGAGTCAAGAGCTTCTGAGTGATTAAGCAGAGAATCAGATTTAGCTTACCTTTAGGTAACAATATAAAGTTCTCTCCAGCACAAACACTCACTCTCAGAGATATACTGCATAAGGTATAAAAAGATACTGCGATGATTCCCACTTAGGCAAAACCTTTCTGAGTTTGAAAATGTAATGGTGTATGTAAGCACAGACTGAGCAAACTTAGCACAGTAAAATATCTTCAAACAAAAGGGAGGATTAATGGGAAGCTAAGTTTTGTTATTTTATCTGTTTCCCACTTCAGTGTCCACTTACCTGTGCACAAAATTGCAGGTTCCATCAACAGGGTCAATAATCCAGGTAGGACTGTCTGTGAGGACACATTTTGAACCAGCAGCAGTGGATTCTTCTGCAATGAATCTGTATTTGATGTTCAGTAAAATATGTGTCTCAGAAAATTGCACTCCATCCTTCTGGTGTTTGAAGGGCTATTTAATTTACGTACATATCTAGTTCTTTTTTTCATTTGGGAGTGAGGGATTTTCATAGAAACTTTGAAAAAGAGTTCTCAAAGGTACAGCATCTGATTTTACATAGTAATAAATAATTCCATGTATTTTAATGCTCCTAATATACAATTATGAACGCCATGGAAAAAAAAAGCAGAAATGGATCTGAACTGGCATCCCTGGAATCCTAGGAGAAGTTTTTCTGCAGAATGTAAGTCTATGGGTTAGGCCTGTCTCTTGCAGCAAGTAATACAAACTGCAAAATGCATCTGCTGCTCTTTGCGGTCAAATTCAGTCAGTAAGAAATAATACACTCTCAGAAAATCCACAATCTTACTCCTACAAGAATTTTTTACAGTAGTTTTGAGTCAGGAAATTGAAAGATTTACAAAGCTGAACTTTCTTCTTCCCATGACCCAAAGTAAATCAACAAATTAATTTTTTTTTTTTTGGATGCACAGGGCACACATTGAAATCTGAGCTCATCTTCTGTTCTGTACCGATTTCTTTCAGTAGTTTTGTTTTTGTTTTTTTTCCCTGGGAAATGTACATCAAAAAAATCTGTTTCTGTAAGTGCTCTGCAGGTGCTATTCTTATGGATTTCAGTAGGGTTCTGCACATACAGAATGTGTAGAATCAGAATGCTGGTACAAAATCTTAGTGTGGGTATCACATTTGAACAACTGGCTTTGGTGTAGAGTTTCTGCAAATGCTTGAGGAAGAAGAAGGTTCTCTCAAAGCCACAAAGAAAAAAAGATAGAAGAAAATAAGAGAAAATGACTTTGCAGAAACAGTTGCTTCCCTAAAAGTAGAGTAGCATCTAATTGCTCTTGTGCCCTCGACGTGAGTTGCATAATGCTACAGCCATGGGCTTAAAATGTTCTGCAGGCAGCACACAAGGAGACTTTTTGAATTTTCCAAATGCTACTTTGCCTTTTCCTCAGTAGAAAGGGACTAATCTGGCGGCATTATAGGCCGTTGTTGGCATGACAGGAAGGGCTTGTTACTGTTTCAATCTCCATTAAAGAGAACAGAGAAAGGCCATGTTTAAAAGGACACTTAAAGAGTTAGTATGCAACCAGGAAGCCAGAAGGACTTGGCCAAGCAGTTGAAGTTCTCAAATATATTATACTGCAGATTGGTTGCTCTATATATTCCATCATTTTGTCTTGTTGGTGTGTATCATTTTTCTTTTTACAATTCTTCTAATTATGACCTAAACCCCATGATAAGCTTTGGCTGCACTGCTAGCTGCAGATGAAACTCATCTTCTTGGAGACGGAGCACCTTACAACTGATCTGAGATTTTCCATCTTCACCTATAAATCATGTCTCTGCTTCAACCCCCTGCCAGCTCCACCAACCAGGGGTTGAACTGTAGCCAGTCATGCACGTAAAAGACAGGTCAAAGGGGAATCTCTTTAAAGACAGACTATTTCTGTGTAAGGTGTTTTACTCTCAAGTATCGTGAGTCCGTTGCTTGCCTTTTCCTTACAGTGGGTGACTCCGCACTGCAGTCCTTATGTACAAGAAGTCAAATATGAAGTTGAGATACAGTGGTGTCATTGATAGGTAATAAAGTCCAAGATTAATTTTCAGAAGCAGCAGGTGTAATACAAATTAGGTGCCCTTTTTTTAAACTTTGGCTAAAATAAGCCAACTGTTCTTGTACAGTGCGGGATACTGTGATAGCTCCTATAGGCCAACACATTATAGATGTGTTGCTCTATGTCTCTTTGTCCTGTAAAAGCATACAAACTAAGCAGAACATTCATACTAAAGCACTGGATACCAAATTTTAGACAGGTACAGTTTCAGAAGTGGGAGGGATAGCCATGTTATTACGGTAAATTAAGTACACTAGCCTTTCAGCTCTGCTGACCCCTGTTCAAATCTGGATTAAAGTTTTCTCCAATTGAAAATGAACCTAGTAGTTTTAGCCTTGCCTTAGTGGACATCTGTTCATATCACAAAGCCACTGTGAAATCCACAGCTGGAAGAGCCGGGAAACCATAGCATGGCATAAACTGCAGCTGAGAGTGATATTCACTTAAGTGCAAAAGGGTCAAAACAGGGCTATACCTCACCTGTTCCTTTATGGGGGTCTGAGGGCAAAAAGCCAGGCACCTAGAGTTGGATGTTAGCATCCATAATGGCAGTGTCCTGATTTTAATGGCTACAGGATTAAGGCCACAATTAATACCAAAGATGGCAACCTGTGTAACAATAACACAGGCAAACGATACAATAGGTAGCCTTTTTCAACCAGCAGTCCATGATACTCTGCTGTGTGTGTCTGTGTTTTGCAAAGCTCTACCAGAAAAAATATTCTTTTGAAAAGACTTGAAGTATTTGAGAGTGCTGAAGAGAGAGAGCAAAGATAAAGATAATTTAAAAGAGAGAGAAATAACACAGAGATCTTCACTGATGGTTTTAATAGGCAGATTAAGGGAAAGACCTAACACAATTTAAATGATCTCTTAATGTTTATGTTGCACTTTACCCTAAATTAATTTAAACATTGACTGCTACCGTGGACTGATTTATTTAATCTAGCCTTTAAATCTATTGTTTTAAACTAATCTAAATGTATTCGCTATTGGAACAAATTCCAACCAAAACCAACAACTACAAGCAACAAAAATAACTGTTTTGAAGAAATAGAAATTCCTTCGTCTGTTCATGTAGTCAGAAGTTAACTGCCCAGGGTTAATAAAGTCAGAGATTTTTCAGTTTCGAGGTCTATGTTGACCTTACAACTTTTGTTCCCATTCTGAGTAACCTGAGTGCTTCTAATGATTCTCACTTTATGTGAAATTTGTATGTTGTATGGTCTCTGCCAGACTGTCCAGGAAAAAAAAACAACATACTGGAGATGCGAAAAGAGTACAGCCAGCAAAAGCGGACGGAATATTACACAAATAATAGGCTTGTAAAGCCTGGCACTCTCTTTGAGAACCACAGCCAAGAACCACACATTACCCTGTACAGTACTGCTTCAGTATGCGATCACATAAAACACGTATTTAGAAAGCCATGTTCAGTATATAATGTTCTTTCTATTCATTCTTAGGTTTTTTTTTGTTTACAACTCCATAGCTGACTGAATCAGATTAGTAAAGTATATGTAGCATTAGCTGAGCTCTCCAGATACTCATTGTTGTTTATTTCTGCACAGTACTGGATTGTAAGGCTCATATCCACTAAAGATTTCCACAGTTTGAGGGAGATTACACAGTATTTAAGTGATACACAGGCTCTGCATTGACTCTGAAGGAAGAGGAATTTTACCCTTGCAGAGTGAAGTCAAATGTGGAAATCAATTGCACAGTCTCTGCATCACACCAACCCTGGCCAACTAATATAAAACCTCTCTCTAAACTGTGCACAGGCTGGGAGGAGTTATTTTCAAACTGACCTTCACAATTCCAGAGGAGTTAACAACATGATCTATTTTTAAAACTTTGGGTTAAAACCCCATAAAGTATTTTGCTTGTATCTTGTTTATTTATATGCATCAAATGACGATAAACAACCCTACTTCTTACTGATTTTAGGATCACAGCACAAGGTAAATGTGATTAAATATGAGAATTGTCCTGATTCGACAAATGCTTAGGCATGATGGCAAGAGATACAATGGAAGGGCCTGCAGGATAGGGCCTTTGTTATCATTAGTATCAGCTTTATTTTAAGATACAGTTTCTTCACATTATTCTTATACAGTAGAGAATAGACCAGTATTGGGAAAAATATGCAGGTTCATACAAAACCTTCATACAAGTTATCCCTACAGGGGGGAAAAAATATTACATTATATTAAATACATTTGAAGAAGTTAAGAAACATACATTTAAAAATGCACAGCTCATGATATAAATATTAGAAAATCTGATATCCTGAGTATAGGGCAGGTGTAGTTTTTTAAAGAAGAGATTTATGTAAGTATCAAGAACAAGAACAGATTAATATTTAAGAGATATATAAAACCAAATGAAACTGAATTAAGAAAAATTAATTTTTACCAAAGATACTTGACTTCTATTGACAGACTTCTAAAACTTCCTTTAAATGCCAGTCAGATATACAGCTTTTACAGGAAAAAATGGCCATGGATATATTCTTTCCACAGATACTCACCTGTGGGAGGGAAATTTCTCTTTCAGAGCAGAAATAATTAAATTTTCCACAAAATGATCAGTTTCTGTCACAAGATCTGCTGCAGATGTCTTTGTAGACACTTGTTTTTCCTCTGTTAGAGCTTTCCTAATAATCTGAAAGAGAAATTCACAGATTTGATTGGTTTCAGTCCTTCATCCTGTGGATGCTAAAATAATATATTTATTTTCAAAATTACGTGAGACCCTGAAAAACCTTTGAAGGATTAACTCTATCAGAATCTGCTCTATTTCTTCTGCAAATAAAAATCCTGCTGAGACAATGAGTAGTCTTGGGGAATATAGGATTTTGAATCACTCTGCAAGAACATCTCTTGACAGTTCAGAAACGGATTGACAAACGGGATACATCTAACGAGAAAAGAAGATGACGGTCGTCATCGGGATTTAGGAAATTACAGAAAACACACATAAGAAAAGGAAGATCCACAAAGCTCAGGAATATTTCATAGAAAACCTCTGATTTGTTGTTGTTGTTTTTTTTTTAATTTGCAGGGACAATACCCCCTCTGCTCTCTTACTCTAAAAACATACAATAAAGCAAACTATGTTAGTTTCTTTTTGCCAACGAAAATGCATAACATTAAATTTTTCTACTGCATATGGATATTCTGATTTTCAAGGGCTGACCACCCACTACTACCAAAAGAATTGCTATTTATTTAACAGAAACAAAGATTCAGACATTTCCCCAGATATGGAACTAGTGATCTAACTCATGATTCTTTTTTGGAAAAATATTTATCTCCTTTTAAAAAGTTTTATTGTTATTAACTCAGAACTACACCACATCCATTGCAAATGCACATATAGGAGAACAGTTAATGAAAACTCTTCCCCAATTTTACCACTTTCATTTTTTTTCATTAAGAAGAAAAATAATGGGACAGGATGATAACGCTTGACCTGAAAAAGTAGCTGACTTACTTTTAACCAGTGAAAATTATAAATTATTTGAAATTATGAAAAACAAAACAGATACAAAAAAATTAAGCATCACTTGTTTGTGTAGAACTGTGTTAAACAAAAAACAACATCAACAAGATCAATATTCCAAGTCTCTTCTGAAACAAATATGTTTAAAATATTTAATAAATTTCCATTGATTGAAGTATTTTAAAACTATCTGAGAAGAAATGCTCCATGATCAAACAGAATAGTTCTGCTGGACTGGGAACCAGGAATTCCCAAATTTTAGTCTCAGCTCTTGTTTTTCATAGCCTAAAATATTACATTTGAAATGTTTTCTGATTGTTCTGATGTATTATCTACATTGTTGACTGTTATGTATGTATGTTAGTATGGAAGGCCCTGTGACTAATCTTTCTGTTTTATGAGCTGTAATACATGCGTTATGCTTATTTACTGAGCTTAAGGACAGATTAATATTTTTCAGTTTGAACTCTTGCTAAAGTTCATTACTGCATACCACAATATCTGCTCCACTTCATCTCTTTAATTCCATTAATGTCCTGCATGGTTTTCTTGATGATTTTACCATAGATTCAGAAGAGTGCAGGCCCTCAGGCTGCTCTTTGGTCCAAACTGAAATCCAAAACACTCAAATCATCTCAGCTCCGTTGTGTAACCCATTCTAAAGAACCTGCTACGCTGATGCCTTTTATTTTTATTGCTCCTCTGTACTATACTGACTATATATAAGTAAGTGCGATGCTTAAGACTGCGCTCAGAAATTCATACAGCCAAACAGATAAGGAATACTACTTATTTCTGGCCTTCAGCACTCCTTTCATTAGAGGAGATCTGGATTTTCTTTAGCAGTGCCATGTTCTTGACTCCTATTCAGTGTGACTACATAGCAGATTAAGGAGAATTTGCAGCCATTGAAATCAGTACAGGCTAACATTTAGCAGGAGAGTTAGATCACACCTGACCCTTGTTGCAAAAGAAGCGGAGAAGTTAAAGATCTCTTCTGCGGATAGGCTGTCTGGTCGGTTGTTTTTCATTATGTGTTTCAGTATTCGATCTTTCCTTTTTAAATGCAATACCTTGCACTTCTCATCACCGAATTTAATCTCATCCATTTCTGATCCTTTTCCGGCTTTTCATGACCATTTTTAATCAGATTCCTGTCCTCATTGCTCTCACTTTGATTTTTTTGTGGATTCTATATAGGTATATACTCTATCCTGTCATTCAAGTCCTTCATGAATAGACTGAGTATTACCAGGTCAAAAAGTGGATTTTTGCAGCATCCATTGTGGTATGTTCTGCCAATTTGGCAGCTATTAAAAATATTCTGCTTTCCCAGAGAGTTGTGTACTAGCCTTATGGTAGCCAGATTGAAACTGTATTTATATAACTTATTTTTGAAAGTGTCATGGAAAAGCCCTATCAAAAGCTTTTCAAAAAAAAAAAAAAATCGCTTCTGTAACTTCCACTGTTGTCCAAAAGCTGGCTGTCAGGAGGGGGTGGTTAAACTGATTTGATGTACTCTGTCTCTCTGACAAACCCACCCTGTCCCTTTCTCTAACTGCTATCTGGTGACCAGCACACGCTAACCTGAGGCTCCAGCTTACAGTTACTTGGTGTGTGTGAATCCCCAAGGATATAACCCCGACACAAAGCTGTGGCAGACGGCCTTCTCTTCCATCCCCTCCTCGAGTCAGGTGGTGGGAGCAGGCCTGCGTGGAGGCACACTAGCGGGACACATCGCTAGTTCCTTGCAAGGAACTGCTTCTTCCCATGTCTTCTGCAACTGGTGCATCGGCAGGGGGGACGTGGCACGAGAGAAGTCGTGGTGCTGTGCTGAGGTTACCAGCAACAAATTGGCACCCCATCTGTGTTAGCCCACCTCCTCAAGCAGATGACACTGTAGGACAGATGGGTCTCTACTAATTCTCTGCCCCTAACAAAGGCTCTAACAAAAGGAAATCTTACTCATCTGCACCGGCCGATATGGGTGTGTAATCCAAGTCAGAGTCCAACACACAGAGATTATCCCTCCCTCCCATAAATGAAACAGCTTTTATTCTCCATAAACTTATCACAGAGTAGTCCAGAATTCTACTTATGTTGAATAATACCTACCAAATTCCTCTGACTACTAAGAATATTAGAGCCCAGTGCTCTGGTGGAGAGAACAGAGCACTCTGAGAACATCACCCAGCTTGACTCCTTGTAGAAGCCTTACGTTAAGCTTTGTAGACACCTACTGCAATTGCCTGGTCTCCCCAACTGGGTGTGGAGCTCTGTAAAAGCTTCTCTCTAGATAAAAGTCATTGTAGCAGGTAAGCGAAAGATCAAAGCACCTACAGGTTGATGAAATACACAGCTGATTGTTCCATATCACTATTTGTACAATGCAACGGGCAACCAATAAGTTTTATTTTGGCTGTAAATGTATTTAACTAGGCTTCATCATTGTGTTATAGATTATTCCAAGATTACCTATACTTTTACAGTGATTTCTAAGCAGCTGATTTGAGAGTCTTTGGTTATTCAGAGCAGAGCTGCTTAAAATTTTTAGCCCGTGATGCCCCTCCACTAATAAGAATTGTCTAATCCCACCTGCTTTTCCTATGCAAAAAGTACTATCAAGCCATGAACAAAGCGAGTAGAGTTTGCTCACAGAACAAGCAGAAGAGATGTCTGAGAAAGTCCAGTTACATATGGCCTTACAGAGTGTATTAGGCATGATTTCAATGCAGGTCACTTACAGAGATTACAAAACCACGGCCATTCTCATTATGAAATACCTATATGTGGAAGCCCCAGGACATTTTGTTAAAAAAATGGAACTCAGTGACAGGGTAGGCAAGAGAGGCAATGACTTTGATCTGGAAATGGAAGTTACTCCAGCAACATCACTTTTGACACACATTCAAACAACCATTTATTTATCAGCCTTTTAAGTTTAGAAAAAAACTATTCCAAAGCATAGATGCATATCATTTGGAAGGAAGATATATTTTGCTTATCCTCATGGAAAATGCAATACGAACTAAATAGTCACGTAGGCAAAAAAAAAAAAAAAAAAAAGAGACCAGGAAACTGTATTACTGATTCATTTCTCCTAGAAATTCAAAATCTTGATTTGCATGCCTTTCTTCAGGTTAGGCCTTGCGACACAATTCTCATAGATGCTTTCTAAGATGCAATTATAAGATGATTCTAAGCCTTCCTAATCTGGCATGGATCTAGGAAACAGAGGGCCTTAAAAGAAAAGCTGGAAATTTCACGGAGGAATGAAGACAGCACTCAGATCTGGGGAAAAAAAACATGCAAGCAGGTTTCTGGAGATGGAGGTGAAGGTGAAAGGGTCTGAAGGAATGGAAAGAGGCAGAAGAAAAAGAAAGTGAATTTGACCAGTGGAACGGACTGTTTTTGGTGACCAAGACTAAATTTTATCAGTCAGTTTTCAATAAAAGTAGATCTAGTCCCATCAGACCCATGTTGTGTCATTCATCTGGCCTTGTGTGCCACACAGGCACTTTGTTCCTTATGTCTAGCTTCTTTGGGGACTAGCAAAAAGTAGATTGACTCTTTAATAGAAGTTACTGCTCTAGCTGCACCTTTTATTTAAAGATCCGCTTGGGTCTCTGATGTTTTTTTGTAACTGAGTACATTCCTTAATATCATGAAAGTTACCAAAAAAAAAAAATCTACCAAATCCTACTTAAACAACATGTTTGGCTGTTTTTAATTTGTCCTGCCATGGAATCAACCATTTCCTACCAGTAGCAAGGTAGCAACGGCAACCTGCAGAGTAAAGATGCAAAAATTAATCTTCTGGCATGTTTATTTCTCCCAGGAAAAGGCACTCAGCTGTGGTCTTCTGGGCCATTAAAATGGTTAATACAACCATAACCATCACCAACAATTAAATATTTTGAGAAGTAAGGTGTGGAGGCTTGAGCAAGTCATGAGAGTCTCTCTTGCGAAATGGCTGGCAGAATGAGTACGCTGGAGAAACTCCAGTTTAGGGATTCTGTGAGAGCATGACCTGTCATCCCAATTTGGATTATCCATTTGTTCCTTGCATAACTAAAACAAGCCTCCTCTCCTCTGGCATTCTGTTAATCTTTGTTATTGTCCATTTTTCTTCTACCAAAGAGAAAAATAGCTTTAACAACACATATTAAGGAAAAGTTACAGGTCCTGGATTCAAGATACAAGCGTACAGGTACAAAGTGGTTTTCAAAATACAACAGAACGTAAAGCAGAGGAAAAAGATGTTGCTGAGGTATGTATTTTACCCAGTTTCTCATCTGAACAATCTGCTGATCCCACTTCTTGGCTCTGTTAAAGTCGGTAAATTTTTGCCATCGCACACAATGGGACCAGGATGTCTCCTGAGATGACTAACTTTCAGCTGTGTTGAAACACAGGTCTTAAGCAAGCTGCTGTTGATCTCCACAGAGACACTGCCGATTTATCCCTAGTAAGTGAATTTCAGTCATTGTGAAGACATTGGTATGACAAGACAAAAATCTCTCTGACACGACTGTTTCTCTCTGGACAAGCTGCTCATAAACAAATACTGGTATTGTAATCTATAAATACACAATATTCTGGATAAATGCACCATGGCGTGAAAACTCAGTTGTACATAAATTCAATACTAGCATCACAGCATGTTCTAAAAACACTACAGCAGCGTAATAAATGCTTGTTTGTTCTACAAATGAGAAAAAAAAAAAACCCTGCTAGGGAGCGTTCACACTGACAAACCCTTCCGTCTCATTTCTTTCCTTTTTTTTTTAAATGAAAATCCACCGAGTCACAAAATACACCCGCTCTCCATCCTCAGGGTAAGGGCAGCTGCCGGAGGAGGCGGCGGCCCCGGGGATCCCGACGTCCTTCCACAGCGCTGGGGCGCGAACCAGGAGGTCCCGGAGGCGCGGACCTCGGCCGTGTGTGTGTGTGTGTGTGTGTGTGTGTGTGTGTGTGTGTGTGTGTGTGTGTGTGTGTGTGTGTGTGTGTGTGTGTGTGTGTGTGTGTGTGTGTGTGTGTGTGTGTGTGTGTGTGTGTGTGTGTGTGTGTGTGTGTGTGTGTGTGTGTGTGTGTGTGTGTGTGTGTGTGTGTGTGTGTGTGTGTGTGTGTGTGTGTGTGTGTGTGTGTGTGTGTGTGTGTGTGTGTGTGTGTGTGTGTGTGTGTGTGTGTGTGTGTGTGTGTGTGTGTGTGTGTGTGTGTGTGTGTGTGTGTGTGTGTGTGTGTGTGTGTGTGTGTGTGTGTGTGTGTGTGTGTGTGTGTGTGTGTGTGTGTGTGTGTGTGTGTGTGTGTGTGTGTGTGTGTGTGTGTGTGTGTGTGTGTGTGTGTGTGTGTGTGTGTGTGTGTGTGTGTGTGTGTGTGTGTGTGTGTGTGTGTGTGTGTGTGTGTGTGTGTGTGTGTGTGTGTGTGTGTGTGTGTGTGTGTGTGTGTGTGTGTGTGTGTGTGTGTGTGTGTCTGTGTGTCTGTGTGTCTGTGTGTCTGTGTGTCTGTGTCTGTGTGTGTGCGTGCGCCG